CCTTTCTCCAGCCCACGCTCGCACTTTCGCTACTGCGCGGGCAAAAAAGTGCCCATGTCTGGTTTTGATTATTCCGACAAAAAAAAAATGTCGCGTGCTTTTTACCAGACCCATCTACCGACATGTATTTCGACACCTACCGACATATGTTTCGACGTACAATAGATTATGAAAAACCGAAAAAATAGCAAAATAATTAGCAATTTTCGCAATTTACTCGAAATGCTATTATTCCGTGAGTCGCGGGTGCAAGTATCGGCACATTCCGAACGAAAAATTACACTGAAAATGGCACAACGCCGAAACCGGTTTGTCATCAAACCAAATTTGACAAGGGATGATGGAAAATCGTTCCACATTACATCATACTCCTACCCTGTCGGAAACACCAACAACGAAAATGAGAATAACGGCACATGCAGTAATTAATTGACAGAAAAATATTTTCTAATAAAAAAAATATATTATAATTGTCAATAGCATTTTCAATCTTGATAATTTATCAAGAAAATATATTTAAACTTCTGTGCTAGAACTGGGAGCTCTTGATAAATAATCAAAAATTGACAAATTATAAAAATATTGAATTTATTAAGTGCACAGAACCGGGCTGTAAGTATATACATATTTGTTATGAAATATAGCAGTTATTCAGTATATTTTTTTCTCACTGAAGAAGTGAAGATTTTGGTAGTGAAGATTTGGTAACTTCTGGTAACTTTTCTTAAGAGATTTTGGTAGAAAAAAAATGTTGGCGAGTGGCAACCATGGTTGCAACTCAAAATTCTGGGACATTTTTGACTCTAAAATGAGGCCGAATGTTTATAGGGTATTATTATTATTATTACGTCCGAAATACTAGCGCTGCGACATATGAATTGTAATCACTCCAACCTTAGGCACTTTGGAGGGTGCCATGTTCCAAATTTTAGATGATGAAAACAATCGTTCCCCAAGGTGTATCAGCTTGCTATTCGTGATACGTGGGCAGTCACATAGGCCCCTATTATGAGTTGCATTCGATTTTCGACTGTGGTCGAAAGTGCTGAGCGAACGAATTTTCATTTGGTATTATGGCGCTCATTCGATGAAGAATAGCGCTATTGTGAATTTCGCTCGTTTANAAATCATACATTTTTCACAATTTTCTAACACTTCGCTACACCATCGAAAGCAAAATTCTGTTCGACAGAAAATTCGATACTCAACGAAAATTTCGACACGCTTGCATAGCTCATAATACGAATTTCACTTTCGATCTTCGATCTTCGATAGCCAGCGAAGATCGAAAATCGAATGCAGCTCATAATAAGGGCCATAGAATATGCTCTGTGGGTTTCCTCCACCAGCCCACAAAACCTGCAGTCCGTCTCTAGATAAAGTCCCATTTTATTCAAACTTAACTTGCAGTGTCCTGTCAGGAAGCCAGTAAGAGTTCTGAGACTCTCCTGGCTAAGTTCAATGAGTCTTTTGGAGTTCCTCCTGCAGGGACTTATGAATCTATTTGATTGTCTCATTCCTATTGACTTCCGCCAGTGGGCATCAATCCGAGACTCTTCCCAGCTCCTAAGTAGTTCTGCAGTGTATCCGCCTTCAAACCCTTCATGTCGCGGAACACACCACAAGTTGTGCTATTGTAGGCTCCCAGCTGTTTCAGAAGAGTTTTACCGTTTTTTTATTCTGACCCCATTTGTCCTTCTATGTAGAAATTCGCGAATACAGACTTCAATTTAGAAAACTTCTGCCTGGAACATGGTTGGGTATGTGAACATTTGCACACTTTTCTGGAATCTTGGTCCAAGTATAACTACCCCATTACTCCCCTCGTCCATCTCCGATCCGTTGGTGTACCATCAAGGGCTTAGCCAGGATCTGATGTAAGGAGGGCAAACAAAATGTATTTATTAATTTTTTTGATTTATTTAATCATTTTCACGCTAATAACAAACGTCTCGGATTTTCAGCAAACTTTTCGATTATTTCCTTCTGAATCATCTCGCGGTTTTCGGTAGCGAGTTTTCTATGGACGCTCATGAGGCATAGGCCCTCGAAGATCGAAAGTGAAATTCGTATAATGAGCTATGCAAGCGTGTCGAAATTTTCGTTGAGTATAGAATTTTGTTTCGTTGGTGTAGCGAAGTGTTAGAAAATTGTGAAAAATGTATGATTTTGCGTTTGTTTTCTTACTTTTTGGCGGCTAGACACTAATTTTAAACAATTTGTATTAATTTCAAGCAGTTGTAAGTTTTTTTGTTTTTTTTTTTTTTGTATTTAAGTTACTCCAGAAAAGTTTACAATGTTTAAAAAGGAAAACTATTTGGCCCAGCTAGAAGTTATAGCGCCATGAACAAAATTATATACATATATATTAATGCTTAATTTCAATTGAATTAAATTTTAAATGTTTATTATTGAACCAGGGAGTTTTTGGAATTTCTGGAAACATGACACCATATGTTATGCCTTTTTGAGTACTCAAAACAGAAAACTGCTGCTGCCATTCTTCTCTTAATTTTGTAGTTATTTCCATTATAGCATCAGATATAGTCCATGAAATATTAATTATTTCTCCATATTGATCCGCCTCCTTTGCTGCTTGATCTGCTACTTCATTTAGTTCAATATTTCTGTGGGCTGGGATATAATGGATGTCTAATTTATCAATATTCGAGTTGGAAACTGCATTTATAATCTCTTTTGCAATATAATTGTTGGTATTTCTGTTATTTAAAATGAAAATACCACTTAGACTATCCGTTAAAATTGCTAGTTTCTTCAACTGATTTTGAATGGCAAATTCTATAACCATTTTAATAGCTACTAGTTCGGCAGTCACGGAAGCTAATTTTTTATTGCAAAAATACGATTTAATGGTTTTAGAATTTTCATGAACAAAAGCTGCTTTGGTTTGATTTTCTTTAATAGATCCGTCCGTAAAAAAGATTTCAAATTGATCACTTTTTAGTTAATTAACTTTCTCTAAATATAATTTTTTAATAATATTTTGATTGGCTTTCTTTTTAGTATTAAATAAGTCATTAAAGAAATTTTTATTAACGGAAATTTTGGAAGTAAAATTTTGATCTTCGGCAATATTAGCAATGTTATAAAATATTGGCCTGAATTTATTAAAAACGATATAATAGCTTGATTTTTTATTCAATTCTCCAGAAAATAAATACTTCTTCGCAGGTAAGTTATAGGCAATGGCGCATATTCATAGTCATATTTAGTACTCAACTAAGTCGAAACTATTCTAAGTCACAACTAAAGCTATTCATAGTCGCCTTAGTTTCGACTTTTCTGGCTAAGTACCAACTTAAAATTTAGTTTCGG